AGGAAGTCTGAGTACATTGGATACTTTTTCTTCCATTCTTGAGATACTTTGCTAAGAAGAATATGTTCCAGCTCCATCCATATAAACATGAAAGAGGTAAAGTCTCCATCTTTCTTTAAGGCTGTATAATATTCCATGGTGTACATATACCACAATTTATTGATCCATTCATGGGTTGATTAGCACTTGGGCTTCTTCCATGACTTAGCAATTATGAATTGGGCTGCAATAAACATTCTGGTACAAACATCTTTGTTATGGTGTGATTTTTGGTCTTTTGGATATATACCTAGTAGAGGAATTGTAGGATCAAATGGCAGGTCTATTTTTAGTTCTCTAAGTGTTCTCCAGATATCTTTCCTAAAGGAACGTATTAGTTTGCATTCCCACCACCAGTGTAGAAGTGTTCCCTTTTCTCCACATCTACACCAGCATCTCTGGTTTTGGGATTTTGTGATGTGGCTAATCTTACTGGAGTTAGAAGACATCTCAAAGTAGTTATGATTTGCATTTCTCTGATGATTAAGGATGATGAGCTAAATGCTGTCTTTTTGAAGAAGACATCTCAGATCTCAAGTAGAAATGAGCTCATCTAGTGCTGTTTTTTCATATCTTGGTATTCTTCTCTTATGTAACAGTTTTCATTTTGTTTTGCAATATATAAATGTGTGTGTGTGTGTGTGTGTGTGTTTGTCCATGGCTTATACCTGCTATTACCCTTAAACTTTTAGAGAACAGGAATCTTCATTCATATGTTCATTCACCCATTCATTCATTCACTCATCACTTAGTAACTTTTTTTTTTTTTTTTTTTTTTTGGCAAGCATTGATTTGGGCTTGGGCCGAATATACAATACAAACACACACCCTGTCCTCCTGGAACTCTTGAGCTTAGTGGAGAACACTGATAGCCAATAAATAGAGAAATAATGATACATTTACCAATGTGATGATTATTTTGAATGATATTTACTAAGAATTATGAGGAATGAATTTCAGTTAGGGACTTTAAAAAGTCTTATTCAAGGAAGGATAACCTGAAAATGTAATCTCCAAGGGAAGAGGACATTAGTTGGGCAAGACTGAGCAGAACTGGCAGTAGTAGAGAATATAGGAAAGTCTTAGAGTACTCAAAGATCTGGTAGAATGTATCATGATACCTCATTCAGAGTTTCATAAAGGCTATAATTTACATGTTGTAGTATTTACCCTCATTCCCATGTCACACATCACACTCAAAAAGGTGAGAGTAATCCAGTTAATGTAAAAATGTGAATATTTTTGAAGATGTCCCATTAACTCTGTCACAATGGAATCATTACTGGAAAAAAAAAAAAGTCTTTGTACCAGATTTACCCCCATTCTGTACTATGATTAGTTTATAAAAAGCTCACAAAGGTCATGGGAGGATATTAGAAGTATTTGTAAACCAGTCTTCCAAGTAGAAAATGGAACCCATTTATATTCAGAAATATGTGTACACCATTGGTATCTACTGACTAGAAACTTATGATCTGCAGAAAGCCTAACACTGCTCAAATAGTTTTCAACAATAAAAACAACTTCTCAACATCACTCTTACTCATCATACCAATCAATCTTCACTTCCAGTTTTTGCATCACTCTAAAGAAATTGTTTCTATACTCACAAAATTTCAGCACACAAGGCACATTTGTTGCCATGCATTTTGCCATCAGGGCCACGGACTGGGTCACTCTCCCGTGTACAGTAAAGTCTTCCAGCTCTTGCTTGTGGCTCATATTCCTTGCAAATATCCTTTTAAAAAAACAAGAATCATATTTAGTGTTTTTCTACTTTTTAATCTAGAAACCTTAAGATAGATTTATAATCATAAAATGTCAAATTTAGAAGGGATGCCAAATACATGTGACATGTTAATGAGAATAATAATAAATAGCAATTTTCTTGTCAAATGACTTGGCACTTATCTCTGCTATATAGTATATTTATTAAAAGGTAAGAGAGCGTAGGAAAGGATAAGGCTAAGTGAAACTTCTCTAAAACCAAAAGTTGATAGGACTTTTTAACTTGCAAATTCATGGGAGGAGCAGGAGGAAGATATCTTTCATGCAGTTTCAACACAAACACAACAAAATGCAAAGCCAAGACAAAAAAAAAAAGATGAAATGAGATGTTTAGTAGTTACTTAATATGGTTTAAGTCAGGAACAATACAACCTAGTTTGCAAGAAAGAAACCCAAGGGGCTATCTAACAGCATTATTCTTACTTTAGTTTGTTTTCTGTGTGGATCTGAGATAACTTTTGTGTGTTCTGCCTTCTTTATCAGCAATTATTTCTGATGTTGTATAAACCTCAGAAAGAGTGAAACCAATTTCCGTTTACCCCACTTTAGAAAGCTAGACCAGCAAGGCTGATATTTATTTAGAAAATGTAAAAAGTTTGTGACTTCCCCCCAAAAATCTGAGACAATTTGTTCTCAGATTTCCTGGTGCTGTTGTTTAGTACGTTCAGGTTTTCTTTATGTTTTGAAAATTCAACTATTTGATGAAAGCTAAACCTAATCCTTGTCTTTCCATTTTAGCCAAGAAAACATGAGTATAAAAATAGTGGCTGGGAGTCAGGAGATGTGGGTCACCAGATTGTGGTTCTCATTCTCTGGAAGACCATAGCCAAGTCCCATACCTGTGGAAACCTCAATCTTACTAGCTTTACAATGAGGTTTTGCAACAGATGCTCTGGAGAGCCTTTTCTAGATCTAATGTTGTCTGATTTTTATTTAATAATTCAAATTACATTAGGACACTTTTAGAAAGAATCCTAATTTCCTCCTAATAAAAAGATGTTTGTTTTTGGAAGACCAATGGGTGTGCTCCAAATTCTCTGGTTGTAACAATCTAGGAATACAGATGCAGAAGACAGTCACCTGACAATCCTAGCATGGTAATAAAATTAATGCTCAATGATTCCCATAGAGAAACAATGATAATTTGAGTTTATGAGGTGTGATTCATCCTGGGAGATTCTGAAGAAACACTTTTGTGAACAATCCAATGACAGGTTAATTATGGGGCACATATTGAGCCATCACTACAAAGCAGTTCTATTCAACACCATCATGCTCAATAACCCCACCAAAATAATGAAACCAACCACAGAAAGGAAGAAGGGAGGAGGACTGAGACCTGATGAAAATTTAAGGAAAAAAACTTCTTTGTGTTTGTGAAGTAATGAAATGCTAAACATCAGAGGATGACCAAGAGTTTTAGACTGAAACTTAACAACCATTACAAAAGAATTGCTTTTCAATCCTTGGTTGAGTGCTGGACAAACAATAGACATTCTGAATACTTTATCTTTTTAAATTTAAATTCTGAACACCCTATGCAGGGTGAGAGCTTTTCTTCATTAAATAGTAGTGTGAAGTACTATGAAGGGAAGAGTTAGCTCTTGACTACCAATAACTGGGCTTGTTTCTTCCCAAAGTAACATATAAACCCTACATTTTGCTAAAATAGTATCCTTGTATTAGTACCAAAGACTACAGGATGTAGAATCACAATCCAACAGGAAGGTAAAATCGAGGTCATTTATCCAACCTCCTTATTTTGCTGACAAGATAATTAAGGGCCAAAGAGGAAATGATTTGCACAGTCTCACACACCCACCCTATGACAGAACTAAGGCTAAAATTCATTTCTGACTTCTCAACAAATGGCAAAGTAATTGCAATCTCTCTTGTTGAAAGTAGATGATTTAAGACATCCAGGCAGACATTATGAACAATATTTCTTCAATTAAGAAAAGAAATAAATTTTTATACTAGATTGAAAATTAAATTATGAAATAATTGGGAAAAAACTTAACTTTAATAGTATTTTTAAAACTATGATCTCAAAATGTGTCTAAGTTTTTTTTATTAAATCATAACTATGTACATTGATGCATTTATGGGGTTCAGTGTACTGCTTTGATATACAATGTGAAATGCTTATATTGAACTAAATAACACATCCATCACAATTATACTCATTTCTTAATAGTTTCAAAATGTACCATTGCATCATGCACATTAGGTGATGTCCCCCCAAAGACCCTCCCTCCTCCCATATCTCCCCTCCTCTCCCCTCTCTCCTCTTCCCTTCTACTTTCTGGACTATAGTAATGTTTTTCATTTAAACAGAAATAAGACCTTTATAAATGCAGGTCTTGTTGAATGTAATAACCATAATTGAAAAGTGAATAACTCTAACTTGTATCAGTAGAATTATACTTAAAATTTCCCAGCAGATATACTGTTTAAAAGATTCTTGACTTATTTTGAAGTTATTCTTATCTAAATTATATATTATTGCAATTAAAAATTATTCAAAGTAAACTGAGCTTACACTAAACCAGAGAGAAAGTTGGTGGAAATTAAGCAGAATTTGGTTTGCATAAACTTTCTCTTACATCCTATTTTAGAGATGGGAGGAGCCATAAGGGTTGAAATTACACATTTGAAGCCTTAGGTGGGAAATTCTTTTTAAAGATGAATCTGATCATTAATACTCTTAGTCAAATAGGAATTTGATATTAAGAAGAGCAATCTATGTGATAATAAAGGAGAATCATTTTGTTGCATTACCTCAAATGTTTAAGAAGAAGTTTATTAATATTTATAACTACAAGAAGTAGATTGTGTTGTTAAGTTGCTTACCTTTTCAGCATTTCGTCGACTTCTGGATGCATCTTCTTGCTTGGCATTTTCTTCCATTTCTTTTAAACTGTTAAGAATGTAAACAGTTGGTCAGTTTATGGCTTGATCATGTTGTCAATGTTTAGTCCTATGCTAAACACTGACATCTTCTCTGCTGTAACTTGTTGAAACTTGCAAGAGACTAGCATTTCCCTGTCTTCAATGCCTGAGCCAGAAAAATTGCCAAAGATAAGGAAGGGTGTGAAACTGACTCACTGACAGTCAATTAGAAGCTTTGTTCTATAAAACTGCATGGGTGTGACACCTTGATTGACAAACAGAAGATTGTCAGGAAAATTCCCTTTAACAGGCAGAACCAAGAGCTTTAAAACAATGTTATGACAAAGGTGAAACCAAACTGAGCATTTGAAGTATTGTCACACACACCCTCAACTATAACTTTGTATACCTTGTAAAGTACTTGTTTGCCTCTTTCATGTAAAAGCATGGTTGGCAATGAAAGCTACATTTGAATTGGGCTTCTAAGCCCTTTTGCAGGTATTATCTGATTACGCTCTCATCCTGGAGATAGGTGTGGCTATCTCCAGTCTGCAGAAGAAACCAGAAGTTAAAGAAATCAAATTCTCCTTTTCAGCTAGTGCATGAAAAGAAACAAAACCACAGAATCAGAGCAGGATGGAGCACTGAAAATTTATGCCTCGTAGATCAGAAAGTGAAAATCAGCTGATGTCCTGTCTGAAAACCAGTTTTAATCACTGTTTTTTGAATCTGATTGGACATGCTCTTGAATGGCCATTATTCTCAAAGGCAGGTGTGAATTTTATTAATCTGTTAAACCTCTGTGCTGATTTTAAATACCCAATGTGTAAATATAGAACTTGGAGACTTTGATGCCTTGTTTAATAGCAAGAACATAGATCTTTCACTTCTGGGTTTTCATTGCCCAGACCAGTGCTAGACACTCAGAGAAACATTACCTCAGTAGTTCTTTCCTTTCATAATCCTTTTGTTTTTACATTAACACTGAATTTAGACACATGACATTATTATCATTTTATTTAGACTCTCACTATTCAGAAAGGGTCTGTACACATGTTCAAATGCAGAAATGCACATCACATGACTGACCTAGATTATTCCATATGAAAGTACATTCTAAATTTTAAAATATTATGTGTTATAAAACACTCTTTTCAAGTCATCGTAATTTTAAAAATTGAGTCTCGACTCAATTTGCCACCTCACCTCTCAACTCAAACATGCCACCTTACCCTCTCTTGTTAAGAAACTTGAATACATGATATAAAGAAAAAGAAAAAAAAAGCCCTTCTGTAAGAAACAGCTATTTCATGTCATAAAGACGAAGGATTGCATGCTTGATGGAAAGGACTTTATGTCTCTGTGGAGTGACTCTGGATAGCAACCAAGTGCACCCTCATCAGGTCCACCTGGGGATGATGATACTTACAACAGCTCAGCACACATCGCACACTTATTGCCATGTGTCTTCCCGTCAGGACCAAGGACAGGATCATTTTCCCGTGTGCATCCAAGTCTTCCGTCCTTTACATAGGGCCGAAAAGCACTACATATATCCTGAAGAACAGAGAAAGGAACTTGCCACTCACCATGTTGATTATAATGCTTATAATGCTGTCATCAGAAAGTTTATAGGACTAGTGCCTCTGCCACCATGACCAGCTACCTAGGGAAGTAGCGGCCAGGTAGAAGTAGCTCAGTAAGTTTTGTATAACTCATATAGTTAAGTATGAAACTCATTTACTTATTTATTCATTTATTCAGTGAACACTGATGGGCTTCTATGTGTTAGAACTTAGGCAGAGCATAGTCCTTGCCGTATAGAGTGGGGGAATCTGTGGTCTCATGGCCACATGTGGCTCTCCAGATCCCCAAGTGAGGCTCCTCAACTGAATCCAAGCTTCACAGAACAAATCACATTATTAAAATTATTTGTTCTATGACATTTGGATTTAGTCAAAAGGCCACTGTCAAGGATGCAGAAGACCACATGTGACCCCAAAGCTGCAGATTCCCCACCCCAAATCCTCAGGTCCTCTAAGAGCATGTAGAAATGCCATCAAATATTAAAAATTAGGAAAATTATTCAGTTAGAAAAAGCCAAGGGTGACATATAGGAGACAATTTCTTCCTTCCTATTCTCCTTCCCCTACTAACATTAAGTTCACAATAATGTAACTCTCTGGAGGAGAAATTGCATTATGGATACCAGTGAGCTAACAAAGTCAAAGTCAATAAAACATGATCTGAGAACAAAGACATCAATAGATTACAAAAGAAAGGATTGCCATATGATTTCAGCCACTTGCTGTGTGGATGAGGTAGGCAAGAAACTTCTCTGAAATTTAATATACTATTTATCTATTAGACCAGCAGATCTCCACACAAAGTCTCAGTGCAGACCAGTAGATAATGCACATGAAAGTTCTCTATAAACTATAATTATAAGATGGTTTCTGTTATCATAGACTAGGATAGTATTTTAGAGCCAGACTTCTGTTCTATAATTTTAACTTGGCTACTTACTAGCTGTGTGAATTGCATAAATTTTTTAACCCCTCTGTGCTTAGAGGTCCTTATTTGTAAAAGGAGCATCATTTCAGGGCTATTAAGAGATTTAAATATTTTAATACATGTATAACACTTAAAACAGTGCCTTCCATAGCAGAATCATTCATTGTTCTTGCTCTTTAAATTGTTTTCTCTATTGAAAATCAAGCCAAGAAAACTTTTAGGGATGACAGAAAAAATCCCCAAATCTTTAATAATATGTCAAGAAAAAAACCTGTATGGTAAGAAAAACAATTGTATCAGGTAATAACTGAAGACTAATGTTCACATCTCAAATCTGCCACCCATTCTCTTCACTTTTGAACCTTACTTTCCTCATCTGAAACATGGGAATTCACATCCAACCCACATTCTAGATTTGAGGTGAGAATCAAATAAACACTTATGAAACTCAAATTATGTCATATTATTGTGACACAAGCCAAAGGAGATATATTATAATAGAACTAACTTGATTTTAACTTTTACCTAAAACCAGTGATTAAGACTGGAGATATTTTTCCTTGGGGTATCACATTGCAAAATAAAATTTTGGATGTCATCATTATCATAATAGAACTATTTTAATGATAGATATTGAACACTTAGAATATTGGCCTATGATGAACTAGTATGCTGTACAATATGAAGAATGAAAGTAGAATGATACAAGCATACAATGAATTAAGAAACTCTTCCAGAAAGTCATAAAAGGGAAAAAGGAATTTAGAAAAAAAAAAAAAACTATAGAACATACTTCACTATTTATATGCTTAGGAAAAAGTTGAAAATAGAGTGAAAAAAAAGATAAGTATTAGCCATCTATGTTATTTCATTAGTTCATTTGTTCATTTATTCTGCAAAATTCATTACACATTAACTAAGGTTTAGGCATTCTACTAGACTGGGAGGCTGCCACAGCAAAAAAAGAAGATAAATGAAGTTTATGTGCTAAGGAGCTTATATTCTTATAGAAAAGAGATACATGATATATACAACAATTTTAGATTGAGTGCCTAGAATTTTAACTATTTTAAAAATAGTGACAAGAAAGGTCTTTCTGCAAAGGTGACATTTGAGGTGAGATGAAATTAATGAGGAAGAGATAACCACTTAAAATCTAAGGGAAGAACATTCTGGGCATCAACAATTGCAATTGCAAAGAATTTGTGGTAGGAAGTAGATTGTCCTGTTTTAGGAAAAGGTAGAAAAAAGAGAAATGTGACTGGAGCATAAAGAAAAAGCAGGATGACTGCTAATTTTCTCCCAAAAATCCTTTCTGGAGAAATTATAGAAGCATGGGGAAATCATGGATTGATTAACTTGGAACAATCCCTGCTATCCCCATTTACCGGAAATTCTACAGCAACATAGTAAGGAGGTCACAGACGTAGGCAGAGGAATGACAGAATAGGACAAAGGACAGCTGGCAGATGATGAGAACAGGTGCAAGGATTTATGACTCCGCCTCCATTGCCTCCAAACCGCAAAGGGTTGTGTATCACAACCTACAGTAAACATCTCTTCCTAATGTTGACAATACTTGAGAGCTTACAGATGGATTCCTCACCTAGTGGACAAACTGGAATGGGCAATAGTGGTCCCAGAATTTCCAGCGTGAGGACTTATTCCTTTTTCTAGCCGTACACTTGCCAGGAGGGGTACAGACTGGAGCTTGGCCTGGAACATTACCTAACTGACTTTAGCAGAAAAAATATGACCATTATGTAATCTTACAATAAAAATACTTCTGTATTTGAGGAATAAAACAATGTAAAAGAAATGCAACATATTATACGACATATGTCAGCTGAAGCAAAATTTTGGAATGGGTAGAAAAATAATTCACCAAAAGTATGACTATGCTTTGAAGAGATAAAAAGACAATATTTGAAATATAAAACAAAATAATTATAAATGAAGAACAAAGTGGAAAATATTCAAATGCTACTTAATCACACAACATAAAGAATAAAAATGAGACCAGGTGTGGTGGCTCATGGCTGTAATCCTAGCACTCCGGGAGGCAAAGGTGGGTGAATTGCCTGAGGTCAAGAGTTTGTGGCCAGCCTGAACTAGAGAGAGACCCTGTCTCTAAAAATAGCCAGGCGTCATTGTCGTGGGCACCTGTAGGCCCAGCTACTCAGGAGGCTGAGGCAAGAGGATCCCTTGAGCCCAAGAGTTTGAGATTGCTGTAAGCTATGATTCCATGGTACTCTAACGAGGTTGACAAAGTGAGACTCTGTCTCAAAAAAAAAAAAAAAAAAGAAAGAAAGAAAAGAAAAGAAAAGAAAGAAAGAAAGAAAAGAAAGAAAGAAAGAAAAGAAAGAAAAGAAAGAAAAGTGAGATAGGTACAAATAGATAATGAATTTGTGAACCAGAAGATCAAATCAATGAACTCTTATAAAAGGCAATGTAAATGAAAAACTATTTAAAATAGAAAAGCTAAAGGACACAAAGAATTAAATTAGAAGCCACCAAAAGGAAGGAAAAATATAGGAAGAAATATTTTTTTAAAAGAAAAGTTCCCAGAAATTATTAAAAAAGATAGAACAGCAGAAAAGAGAAAAATAGCTGTAATTCAGAGCTAAAATCTAGTTAACAACAAAATTGTTTATATATTAGGAGTAGACACAGATATTGGCAATAGACTCAGTTATTAGCAACAGTAATCTTTAAAAATGTGGGTATTTGGGTAAAAGTGGTTATAATAAGAATCAAAATAGGTACAATACATTTGAATTAAAGAAAAGGTAGAAATAGAAAATCACTCTAAAAATAACTTTTATGAAAGTAAGATAACTAAAAATTTAAAAAATTGGGAGAACCCAGGCCTAAGTGATGTAGCAATAAGTGTAAATGAGTTAAACCCACAATTAAAAGATAATTAGTGCTTAGATTTTAGAAAAAGCATCAAACCATTCTTTGATAACGAGAGAAAAATTAACAGTATAAGTTACACAAGTGTTAAAACAATGAGATGAGAAAAAATACACAAGACAAAAATTAATAAGAGGGCAATGGCAGCAATGTCAACACTAAGGAATAGAATCAGTGTAAAATGCATCATAAGTGACAAAAAGGAAATTACATAAAGTAAAAGGAAGAGAACAACAGGACAGTATAACAATAATGAGAATATATTTAGCTTAATGATTCTAGCACTAAATATGTCAAACAATAACCAACAAAATGTGTAAGGTTTATGTAAATGATAATCAAAGTTAGAGATTTTAACTAACACTTCTCAGAAATTGTTACCTTAAGGAAAAATAAAATAAAAAGTCTTAATCCATTAAATTTTTATAGAAAACTACACCCAAGAAACAAAATAAACATGTTTCCAGAGCATATAAAACATTTATAGAATAGTTGTTATATTACAAAAAGTCTTAAGAAATCCCAAGTGAATAATATTATTATCTGTGATCTATAGTATACATGGTCTATGTAAATTTGACCAATATTTAATAATATTAAAAGCTAATGTAAAATAGCAAAAAAAAAAAGTACCACATATTTGAAAATAAAATAATATAGCAGTGAATAACTTTCAGGAGAGGAAAGTTAAGATGTGTTTGGCAAATAATGACAAATGGAAATACTTGAAGTATAAATCCTAAAATAGGTGATTATTCATACCTTCAGATGTAGATTTGTCAGAAGTGTTTTAAAAATTAAAGTTTAAAGACCTAAGTATTCCTCAATCCATTGTGAAATGAGCATGAGCAAACATAAACAGGAATGAATGTCATAGAAAACAAACAATGGAGAACATTAACAAAGAAGCTAATCTGGTAGTACTGATGAAAGAGAAAGAGAATATGAAAAGAAAAAATATATGGCAATGATAATTGAAAGTAATAATACAAATATTAATATATAAATACAAGGAAAGCATATTATGAGTATCTATAAGGTAATATATTTGAAAACCAAATTGGATATATGTCTGCAAAAAAATTATAAAATATCCACATTTGTTCAGTAAGCAAAAGAAAAATTGA